ATATAACATTTCTGTCCCCCTCACTTCTGAAATGATGGCTACACCCCTGCATTTTCATGAGACCGGGCTCACTTGCATGAGAAGTACTCTTTGCTTTTAAAACCTTAGCGACACTGTCATGCATGCAATACATTTCTTCGGAACACCCTAAAATAGCTCAGCTATAGACAAGCATAAAGCAGTGCCCACTGATTTATTGCAAAACTTAAAGGGGTCATATGATGTTGCTAAAAAGAACATTATTTTGTGTATTTGGTGTAATGAAATGTGTTTATGCAGTTTAAGGTAAAAAAACCACATTATTTTCCACATACTGTACATTATTGTTTCTCCTCTATGTCATCAGCCTGAATTTGCACCTCAATTATTCTATTCAATTCAAGTTTATTTGTATAGCGCTTTTCACGATACAAATCGTTGCAAAGCAGCTTTACAGAAAATCAGTTAATCAATTATCAGAAACGAATGTCCTGAGTCAGGTGTAATCAAATGACACAGCAGGATAGGGCACAAGGGTGTAAGCTTGGCACAGAGGAGTGAGTAGACAGCCCAAAGGCTTGGCACTAGCAGACAGGCATCAGAGATCAACACGTTAGCAAGGGCAGAGCACTTCTGACTATGGAGTGGTGGGGGTGTGTAGCGGGACTTTATCATGACCTAACCACACTGGCCCCGAAAAGTGAGATAACACTTAAAGCTGCAGTCCGTAAGTTTTGCCTCTTTGTCGCCATCTCTGTTTGAAAAACTGGAATTGCAGTTACTTGCGGAATTATCTTCCTTGCGTGGGTTGTACTCCAGCGTGGCTCCAGCGCGGATGAATCGAATGTTTTGAGGAGTATGTGTGGCAGTCAGTCACCTCACTGGTGTGAATCCTATACTTAGTAATCACAGATTCTAGCCTACATCTTGGAATATGTGACCCAAATAAGAATTTTCACCGGATTTTGGCATCTGAACAAGTAAGTAACAAGTCTGCCACGTTTGTTCTGACCAACTGAGGAAAAAAGCATTACAATAAATCGTACTACCGATGGTGATTTAATCTAAATGAGCTCATATCACATCAAACCGTGCAAATTATTATTATTGTTATACTTTATTCTCAAATGATTAATGTTAAAGGGGTGAATCGGGCTAAAGTAAGGCGATAGTTTTTAACACTGGCTGGTTATGTACTTGCTCAAATATTGATTTTGGATCATTTTTAACCAAAAAAAGTTACGGACTGCAGCTTTAAAGTCACCATGAAATCAAAATTGAAAATGGAATACTGTAGTGTTTATAAATAATTTATCAGTGCACTTCATAATTTTTTTTAAATTCATGTGCCCTCATAATCTTTAATCAAAAACGTTACCCGTGCGCGCTGTTAGGCATGTTTTGTGCCATTGATCGTCCTCGTCGTCGTCTTCCTCAATAAATAAAAAATGTCTTCATGCTAGGGTGTCGGCGGTGAATCCAGTGGAGAGAAATCCCCCCACAACTAACTGCAAACTGGCATTCAGATCTGCCTCCATTTTGTTAGCAACGCCCCAACTTCCAATGATCCAATTAATTCCCAAAGGACGAAATCAAGTCCCGCCCTCTCATTTCAGATGCCTTTCACTCGGATAGATGTCACAGTAGAGAAAAAAAGACAATCGCTACTTCCGTTTCATGCCGACTTTAAGTAGCATGTGTAAGTGCATGTGTGTGAGAGAGAGAGTAAAAATATGGTCTACAAGGTAGACGTGTATGTATGTGCGATATATCAGTTCAAAGAATTTTCAAAATAAAGATTGGCAACTGAGAATTGGTTCTTATTGAGAACAGGTTGCATTTAAAAAAATACAGTTGTGGTGTATTTTACAATCAGGTCCCATGCTCAATTGGATCTCCGGTATGCTAGGCTACTTGGAATTTTCCAACCCAATCTCATGAGAGCAGGAAGGTCCTCCTCTATACTTAATTTTCAGTTAGCAGATTGTACAAAAACCTACAAATTAGATTGTAAGAATTCATACAAATCAGTTACCAAAACATAAAACAGTTACAAATCACCATAAGTTGTTGTATTTTCAACCCATGATGGGTCAGTATTGTTCTCTTCCGCTCTTCCGCCACTGGCAATGAAATACCATACCAAACTGACCTTATAGTCAGGGTAGTGGCATTATTAATTTTGACAGGAATTCAATTCAATTCAATTCAAGTTTATTTGTATAGCGCTTTTCATGATACAAATCATTGCAAAGCAACTTTACAGCAAATTAAGTTTCTACAATATTTAGTGGTAGCTTATCAGTGGTGACTGTCAGTTAATGTACATATGGCAGAAATGTACGGAAAAATCAATTAAAGACGTAATCAAACAGACGATGAACACTATTAACAGCAATTATTATATGATGCAATCAAACTTATAGAAAAATGTGGTAGTTCTGTATGTTGTTTCAGGGTTGGCATCATCTGAGGTCCTCTGAGGGGATTGGAGGTCTGTGATCCGATCTTTATGAGTTTGGAAAGTGCGTTACTTCGGCAGCAAACTAGTACTAGAGCTCGCAGATGTCCTTTTAAAATTGAGCTTTCTGCACA